GATTTATTCACCTGTACATTTATTGACTTTATTTGTTCCATCTTTGTTGACTTATTCCACCACTGATTTATTCACCTTTACATTTATTGACTTTATATGTTCCATCTTTGTTGACTTATTCCACCACTGATTTATTGGCTGATTTAGTCACCTTTACATTTATTGACTTTATTCATTCCATCTTTGTTGACTTATTCAACCACTGATTTATTGAGCTTTACATTTATTGACTTTTTTGACTTACCTGTCAGCTTATTTCCGGACTCATCATGATGATTTATTTTTTATATATTCAATCTTTCGTGACTAACTTGGCTTATATGTTGACTTTCTTGTTGATTTACGTTTGAAATATTCAATCTTTCTTGAATTACTTACTTACTTGTTGATTTACTTTCAATATATTCAATCTTTCTTGAATTACTAATTGGCTTTTATGTTTACTTGATGTAATTTTGATGTATTCAATCTTTCATGACTTACTTGTTGGCTTCAATATTAACTTATTTTTTTCAGTTATTTTTGCCTTTTTTAAATATCTTTTAAAATTTTATTTATTGAGTCTTTGTCAGGTTTGTTATTAAATTTCTACTGAAAGAGTTCATTTATTGGCTTCAGCTTGTTTATGCTGTTTTTACAGTATGCACCAGAAAGGATAATCAAACTATGCCATGCAATCAATGATTGCACACTTTTGACTACTTTCTTTGTTTTAAATTATTATGGACTGGAAGAAAACTGCAGAAAAGAAAAAAAAACAAATTTCTACAGCAGGAGTTGGTCAGTCTTCAATAAAAGATCCTTAGTAGACTCTCATGGTATGTAACGGTTAGTTACAATTCTTTTATTCTTATGAGCTCTGGAGCGATCGTGTATTTATTTTTAAAATTTCAAAGAAACTTAATCCTGTCTGCGGTAATCAAAAACAGGAGAAACAACAATGAAGGTATGCAACATGACAAGTTGGAGGCTGCAGGAATAGATGCATCAGAAACAGTCCAAGAATGTGCAACAAACAAGTTCTATAGGTCCACTGAAGCCAACATTCACTGTATAGATGACATTTCACTCGATCAAAAGATCAATGAGAAACAAGTTATAACTGTACTTTACCATGAGGTGCACGTGTCATTAACTCCATGAACATGCTTAAGAAAAAAGCAACAGGCGGTATGCGATCTAAAAGGGTAGAAAGCATTTGGAAAATCACACTTAACCTCCCTCACCTGGATCTACACACCTGGTCATGGTCATGCTGGCGTAAAAGGTAATGTGTGAGAATACCAAATGGCAGGCAATGTACCAATGCATGAGGTAAGAAGCATAGACATCACAGATATCGTCAGTGNTACAGCAGGAGTCGGTCAGTTTCAATAAAAAAGATCCTTAGTAGACTCTCATAGTATGAACCAGTTAGTTACAGATTCTCTTATTCTTATGAGCTCTTGGAGCGATCGTGTATTTATTTTTAAAATTTCAAAGAAACTTAATCCTGTCTGCGGTAATCAAAAAACAGGAGAAACAACCATGAAGGTATGCAACATGACAAGTTGGAGGCTGCAGGAATAGATGCATCAGAAACAGTCCAAGAATGTGCAACAAACAAGTTCTATAGGTCCACTGAAGCCAACATTCACTGTATAGATGACATTCATCGATTTTTCCGATCAAAGATCAATGAGAAACAAGTTAGAACTGTACTTTACCATGAGGTGCACGTGTCATTAACTCCATAAACATGCTTAAGAAGAAAGCAACAGGCAGTATGCGATCTAAAAGGGTAGAAAGCATTTGGAAAATCACACTTAACCTCCCTCACCTGGATCTACACACCTGGTCATGGTCATGCTGGCGTAAAGGGTAATGTGTGAGAATACCAAATGGCAGGCAATGTACCAATGCATGAGGTAAGAAGCATAGACATCACAGATATCGTCAGTGATGTATGGAATTGACTAGTGGATAATGACAGATCTGTGACCTTAACACGATTGCATGGCTTGAAAGTAGCATAGTGAAGCACGTCTATGCCGCCTTTGAGGAGAGATAGGAGACAACCTCTCATGGGAACAATTAGTAGAAGTACCTTCTACATGATAATGCCCAATGTGCCGTGATGTCAACTGTGATAATATAACATAACATTACATCACTAACCAAAATATTGTAAACAAAAATAGCTACTAATGCAATAACTCTATGTAACAGAGGGCATTTCATAAATCTAAGGCAGAAGCAGCCACACACCGTACTTACTCTGTCACTGCTATCTGCATATGATGACCTCGGTGAAGATGGAGAAAACATACTAATATCTTCATAGAGGTTTTCTGAGGCGTATGAGCTCCGGCTAGACCTGCGATCATGATCCGGGCTGTACCTCAGAGATGCTGAAGATCTAAGGCGACTCCAGTCGGTCTCCTTGCGATTACGTTCCCGTGACATATCAATATAATCCAAGCTGCTTCTAGAGGATGAAGAGTTGGATCTCCGGATACTATCCACTCTTCTGGCACTTTTAGCCAAATTTTCATTGACCTTAGAAATCACCTCAGTGACTGATTCTGGAGAGGAGGGCTTTTCACAAACAGATTCGTACAGAGTGGAGTCTGCTAAAGATGGATCTTTCACTGTTCTGGGCTGAGAGCCAGAAATGCATTGTTCGTGGTATCTCATTGGTCCCTGCTGCTGTGCCATTTTCTTGTCTGAGTCATTTTTGAGCCTTGGTACATCTGATTTGATTCTGGAATGGGTAAAAGTGGCAGCTGAGCTTGGCTGAAAACTTTTAGTGCTGGAAGATGAACTAGACCCCTGAGACACAATTGAAGAACCACTGTTTTGTTGTGATATTCTCAAATCCATATCATAGCTGGAAACTTTGAAATTAGAATTTTGTTTAGGAAAAGCAATTTGTTCAGAAGTTGTTCGTCTCAAGTTACTTCCCATTGAAACATCAACATTAGTCTTCAACCAAGCTTCATTCTGCCATTGATATTTCTCCAGTTTATCAGGTTTCTGGCCACCTCCATGTTCATCTTCCTTGCTGGTGTTCCTGGCTGTAGGACAAATCATGGCACGATTATCCAAATCACTGCCTGGATTGGTGGCATCAGACTCTTCTTGGATGTTTCCTAAAGATTCAGAGTAACGGCCCATGCGGGAACTGGATGCAGATGACCCACTTTTACTTGGTTCACCAGACAGTGCTGCTTGGTGCTCTAGTTCACTTTTTGCAGAGGTGGGCAATCGTGATTGGGAAATTAGTTTTTCTGTCTCATCATAAATCCCATAGGCTTTTCTCATTGATGGCTTTCTGTTGAACTCATATTCAGAGAGGTCATCACCCTCTTTATCATCATCTCCCATAAAAACAGAATCTGACCCACAGCGGTCTTGATGAGAAAGATCCCCAGTTGTGTGTTTGCCAGGGATGTTTGCAGATGTGGAACTAGAAGCAGATGACACTTGACGAAATGGTGGTTCAGTGCTATAACTGTTAGATGTGGTTTGAGAAGATCTTGAATCTGAGGAGACACTTTTTGTATCTGAAAAACCAGATGGCACTTGAGAATGATTGGGTGAGGTTTGACCAACAACTTTTCCATGTGCTGAAGCCACAGGGCGATGTGGAGCACAGGGGGGTAGAGAATGAACACTGGAAACTGGAGCACTGAGTTCCCTGGTATGTCCAGGAGCCATTCCAGAGGGTGTTCTTGGATCACAGTGGTGAACTCTGGAATGCTGGCTGGAGAAAGAAGGATCTAGACTTCTCCTGCCTCTGGGAGACACCAGGTCCATGTTCTTGTAGTTGGAACTGGTGTCTGAGAAGATTAGTGAGAGATCATGTCTTGAATCTGCAATACTGGACACTGAACCAAACTCATCCCTGCCAAAGGGACCACTTTTTTGGTCATGATGAATGATGACACTACTGTAGGATTCAGTCTCACTCATAGCCACCTGGTGAGTTGCAGCCAGGTTTGTGGAGTCATACTTTGGAGATTCCTGAGATGATGATGATGATGACATTCGTTTGTCCGGTACCATGCCAAGCCTGCTGCGGTAAAACTCCTCCGATAGCTTCCTCAGAATCGATGCATTATCACTACTGTTTGGATTACATCTTTTACCTACCTCTGCACTGTTGAGAGGTCCATCCAAATCATCAGTTGCATACTTTGCTTGGATGCTCTGTATGCCTCTGAATGGTGAAGCCTGATTGGTGCTGGCAACACTGGGGGGGTAACGGAACATTCCGCCACCCTGTACCTTGCTTCTGTCATTCAGTCTGTTACTATAAATATCCACTTCAGAATTCTCAAAATCCAGAGACATCCTTGCCTGGATAGATTTTTCTTCAAACAGTTTTCTTTGATCATCGGCTTCCTTGTGTGTTTTTTCAGGTGAAAGCCCATCCACCTGAATCTCGGCATTTTTTGATGTAGTCGCTGCAGGATCTGAGACTTTGATAGCATATGGAATCAGGTCTGTTTGTGTGCTGGTGTTGTAGTAAGGTGTTGACTTGACAATATATGTTTTGCTTCCTTGACCACCTCTTGGCAAGTTAGAACTATCTGTTTTACTTGAACTAGAGGAACAGTCATACTGTGAACTGTGTCTGTCTCTTGGAATAATTTGAGAACTAGGCTGATCTTTCTGTGAATGGGATCTTGATCGCTGAACTGAATATGAGTCGTGAATCTGCAAGTTTGGAGACACATGTGGAGAATTTGAGCCTTTGTCCTGCCAAGAACTCTGTTTCTGATCATGAAGTGAAGAAAGTCTCTCCTTCATTTTGGGCAAATCTTCAGACTGAGATACTGTCCATAAGTTCTTCTCATTTATACTAGACAATGGGGAACCTTTGTTCAAAGGACTTGTGTTAGCATTAGCTCTAACGATGCCCTGACTGGCTGAATTGTTGAGGTGTAAATTTGATGGTCGAGCATGAGGTGCTTCATGAATATTAGTCTTCTCTGACTGGACATCCCAGAGTTTACGAGATAAATTAATCTGATCAACCCCTTTGCTGTCTCTTTCTGGTGGGGATGGAGCATTGTACTCCTTGTCCCCAAGGTTGTGTCCATCTGGATCCATATTTGGAGGTGGGTAGCCTGGTTTGGAGTTGTAGAACTCATCAAATCTGCCTTCTGGTTTGCCAACATTTCGCCTCTCCACTCTCCCATACGGACCATACACAAACTCTGACTTTAGTCCTGGGTCACTGCTGTTTCTGGCTTTGTTATCATCAGTTTTCCTCTCAGCAATTGGGCTGTTCTTCTCAGCAAGAGGTCGCAGCCCTGGGGTATAGGCCAACTGCTGCTTGTGGGGGAACTCTGTGCTGGTGTTGGTGTGGTCAGTCATTGACTGTGCCCTACTGTTGATTGGCTGCGTCTGCTCTGTGGCACCACTGGGTTTAGTCACTGGCCAGGATGGATATTTCTCATGGTTCTGATTGACCTTGATGTACTTCAGACTGGCAGGATCTCGTGTAGGCAGGCCAGCACCATGAAGTGGATCACAGTCCTGGACCTCTGGAGTATGTGGGATGCTGTCTCTAGCAGTCACTTCTTCAATATCATCTATTTCTGAGATCTTCTCACTCCCTATTGGAGCTGTGCCAAGGAGGCAAATGTTTTCATAGTCAGGCTGATACCTGTGAAGATTATGAGCTGGTACTGAATGGTACATATTTACTCTGGAAGAATTCACATCAGATGGATACATATCAAATGGATATGGTTCACCTGCAGTATACTTGTCTTGTCTGAAATTGGGACCTACTGACCTACTGACCCACTAAACCCATACATGAGGTCCAGGTTTTGCTGTCCACTCTCTAAGTCATTCAGAAGGTTGGGGCTTGAACCAAACTGCTTCTGCTCTTTGGAAGATCCCAGATGTGAGGAGGATTCTCTGACGGTGTGACCTACATTTTTCTGGACCAGGTTTGGGGATGAGCTCATGGAGGCCAAATGCTGGCTCTGGTAGCCATAGTAACTGCTTGCAGAGCTGTGAGAGCTAGGGCCTTCTGATCGTCTTCTGTTCATATTGACTAGCTTTTCTTTCTGATTGAGTGGGCTGGGTAGGCGATGATGGTCATCGTAGCTTCCAGGCTTGTTGTGTGGCTCGCTGGTCAGGGATTGGATTGTGTCTCTTGACTGCTGGGGCTGGAACAGTGGAAGCTGACCTCTGACCGAACTACTCCGGCTCTGAACATGAGCACTGTTGAGTTGTCCAACACTGTGGGAACAAATGGTACTAGTATTAGCCGCATCATTGGCAACAGGAATAATCAACTTCAGACTAGTTACTGGTGAACAACATGCTTCAGAAAATGTATACAGTCACATACAACACTCTTGTGAAATATGATGCCAGTACTAGTGATCCAAATACAACATTCTTGTGTGTGTGTGTGTGTGGGGGGGGGGGGGGGGGGAGGGGGGGTTTATTTATTTCAATAATTCTCTCTTCAATTTTTTATTTCAATAATTCTCTCTTTTTATTTATTTCAATTCATTCTAAATTTTTTTATTTATTTCAATAATTCTCTCTTTTTGTTATTTATTTCAATAATTCTCTCTTTTTGTTATTTATTTCAATAATTCTCTCTTTTTGTTATTTATTTCAATAATTCTCTCTTTTTGTTATTTATTTCAAAAATTCTCTCTTTTTGTTATTTATTTTAATAATTCTCTCTTTTTATTTATTTTAATTCATTCTATATTTTTTATTTATTTCAATAATTCTCTCTTTTTGTTATTTATTTCAATAATTCTCTCTTTTTATTTATTTTAATTCATTCTATATTTTTTATTTATTTCAATAATTCTCTCTTTTTGTTATTTATTTCAATAATTCTTTCTTAATGTTATTTATTTCAATAATTCTCTCTTAATGTTATTTATTTCAATAATTCTCTCTTTTTGTTATTTATTTTAATAATTCTCTCTTTTTGTTATTTATTTCAATAATTCTCTCTTTTTATTTATTTCAATTCATTCTATAATTTTTATTTATTTCAATAATTCTCTCTTTTTGTTAGTTATTTCAATAATTCTCTCTTTTTGTTATTTATTTCAAAAATTATCTTTTTTAATCATTTCATCAATTCTCTCTTTTTTACTTATTTCAATAATTCTGTTTTATTTATTTTAATAATTCTGTTTTATTTATTTTAATAATTCTGTTTTATTTATTTTAATAATTCTGTTTTATTTATTTTAATAATTCTGTTTTATTTATTTTAATAATTCTGTTTTATTTATTTCAATAATTCTGTTTTATTTATTTCAATAATTAAGTTTTATTTATTTCAATAATTATGTATTATTTATTTCAATAATTTTGTTCTATTTATTTCAATAATTCTCTTTTTTATTTACTACAATAATTCTTTTATTTTTTTAAAAATTGCAATAGTTCTTTTTAGTTGCCCTCTTTTTAGAACCTCTGTATTGGAATGTCCATTGTCCAAATTTCTGCACCATACAGCAGGGTTGAGTATGCATAACTTTTTACCATTCTCACTTTCAATGTGTTATTTATCCCTCTAGTTGTCAGTAATTTGCGCACCTTGTTAATTTTAGCCATTCTTGTTCTCTTTTTGATTTTGCGGCTTACATAAAGACAGACTGACGGACGGACAGACTCTCTACACAATGGGACAGAGAGCACATACCTACCTAACTGTTCTCCTCACTCAAAACACATACGTAGATGTACATGCGCACATGCACGCATTATATACACATATTTATGCACATTTACACACATATATGTACACATGCAGGTATTATACACATATATTTATGCACATACAAAAACATACATATACGACACATAAAAACAGACAACACGTACAAACACACACTCATACATGTCAGTCAAACTATACAGATATAAAAGTGTCCTAAACATATGACCTGTTTTTAGACACACACACACACACACTCACGCACAAAGTTCATGAAACAACTTACAAACTAGGCAGTGACAGCGCCGTACCCACACAAACCCAAGAAAACGTTCAGTGTGTGGTTGTGTGAGGGGAGACTTGTCTATCCAGATAGGGAGACCAGTTAACACTGAGACCCAACAGCCGTGTGTCTACCAAGACAGAAGAAACTGAACGCACGTTTGTTGTGTAGGGGTCGGTTGTGGTGGCTGTGTGTACTAATGTGGCAACTGTAAAGTAAGGAGACACTAGGTCATAGGTCAGACCAGGTGTGTGTGTGTGTGTGTGAAAAAGGGGGGGGGGGTGTGACAAGACATTCTCCAGTCTGTGTTGATTAAATAAACGGTATCAAACCTTAATGTAATTGCCAGATTTAAGAGGGAAAAGCGAAAGGGGATGGGGGAGGGGGAGGTGCCAGTTGTCATAGGACTGCACAGAATGACCAGTCGAGGTCGCACATTTGTGAACAGCTGATTACAGGTGATAGCATCCACTTGGATGTCAGAAGATCTTATCTCTGACAGAGGTGTTTGTCTACTCAAAAGTTCTGCTACACTGGTGTCTTGAAGAAACATTCACATGCAATACAAGACTTTTATTATTTCCAACCCCAGCTTTACGTGGTGGGCACTGTTCTCCTCAGTAATCCAGTGGAGGGTTGGGGTTTAAACCCCCAGGGGGAAATTGGATAAGGCAAAAAACGAAATAACACACCTGGTGGCGAAAGGTCTCTACAAACTGGACTTGGGAAAACTAAAACCAACCACTGAAACTCATAGAAAAAGAAGAAGAAACTGGAATGGGGTGGGGGGTGTTGTCGAAGACGACAGAGGAAGAAGAACACACACACACACACAAACACACATTGTTTCTGTGTATCAATTTAATAATTCTTATACCATTTCTGGAGCTACAAGGGCGGTAACAGCCAGCCAGTGGGCAGAGACTAATGCAGCAGACGGAGACCTGCCGACAGATAACCGACAACCAGATAGAGCCAACGTTATGGCTGTCAGAGGCAGGCAGATATAGCCAACGTTATGGCTGTCAGAGGCAGGCAGATATAGCCAACGTTATGGCTGTCAACGACAGGCAGATAGAGTCAACGTTAGCGCTGTCAACTAGGAATGTCAACGACAGGCAGATAGAGTCAACGTTAGCGCTGTCAACGACAGGCAGATAGAGTCAACGTTAGCGATGTCAACTAGGAATGTCAACGACAGGCAGATAGAGTCAACGTTAGCGATGTCAACGACAGGCAGATAGAGCCAACGTTAGCGCTGTCAACGACAGGCAGATAGAGCCAATGTTAGCGCTGTCAACGACAGGCAGATAGAGCGAATGTTAGCGCTGTCAACGACAGGCAGATACAGCCAACGTTAGCGATGTCAACTAGGAATGTCAGCAACAGGCAGACAGAGCCAACGTTATGACTCACTGTTGAAATATTGCCCGCCACACACAAGTATGCGACAACCTCCCCCCCGCCCCCCTCCCCTGTCATTTATTATATGCAACCAACATACAACAAACAAACCAGGCGACCAGTGAATGGAGCTACCCGAGACTGTATTTATTCACGGTCAGAAGGGACGACAATTTCCAGTTATCAACATGTCTTGAAGGTGTCCTTTCGTAATGCAGAGTTCATAGCACAGTTGGTTTACGTGGTTTCTGTGGTAGCTGTCTTTATTTCTGGGTTGGTTTAGGTGGTTTGTGTGGTAGCTGTCTTTATTCCTGGGTTGGTTTACGTGGTTTGTGTGGTAGCTGTCTTTATTCCTGGGTTGGTTTACGTGGTTTGTGTGGTAGCTGTCTTTATTCCTGGGTTGGTTTAGGTGGTTTGTGTGGTAGCTGTCTTTATTCCTGGGTTGGTTTACGTGGTTTCTGTGGTAGCTGTCTTTATTCCTGGGTTGGTTTACGTGGTTTCTGTGGTAGCTGTCTTTATTCATGGGTTGGTTTACGTGGTTTGTGTGGTAGCTGTCTTTATTCCTGGGTTGGTTTACGTGGTTTCTGTGGTAGCTGTCTTTATTCATGGGTTGGTTTACGTGGTTTCTGTGGTAGCTGTCTTTATTCCTGGGTTGGTTTACGTGGTTTGTGTGGTAGCTGTCTTTATTCCTGGGTTGGTTTAGGTGGTTTGTGTGGTAGCTGTCTTTATTCCTGGGTTGGTTTACGTGGTTTCTGTGGTAGCTGTCTTTATTCCTGGGTTGGTTTAGGTGGTTTGTGTGGTAGCTGTCTTTATTCCTGGGTTGGTTTACGTGGTTTGTGTGGTAGCTGTCTTTATTCCTGGGTTGGTTTACGTGGTTTCTGTGGTAGCTGTCTTTATTCCTGGGTTGGTTTAGGTGGTTTGTGTGGTAGCTGTCTTTATTCCTGGGTTGGTTTACGTGGTTTGTGTGGTAGCTGTCTTTATTCCTGGGTTGGTTTACGTGGTTTCTGTGGTTTCTGTCTTTATTCCTGGGTTGGTTTACGTGGTTTCTGTGGTAGCTGTCTTTATTCCTGGGTTGGTTTACGTGGTTTGTGTGGTAGCTGTCTTTATTCCTGGGTTGGTTTACGTGGTTTGTGTGGTAGCTGTCTTTATTCCTGGGTTGGTTTACGTGGTTTCTGTGGTAGCTGTCTTTATTCCTGGGTTGGTTTAGGTGGTTTGTGTGGTAGCTGTCTTTATTCCTGGGTTGGTTTACGTGGTTTCTGTGGTAGCTGTCTTTATTCCTGGGTTGGTTTACGTGGTTTCTGTGGTAGCGGTCTTTATTCCTGGGTTGGTTTACGTGGTTTGTGTGGTAGCTGTCTTTATTCCTGGGTTGGTTTACGTGGTTTCTGTGGTAGCTGTCTTTATTCCT